AAAGGAAGGGAGGGAGGAGAAAAGAGAGTAAGTAACTGATAGGAAGAATAAAAAAAGACAAAAAGACTAGAGTACTCCACTCTCCTCCTTTTCCCTTTCTTCTAAGTCTCTTTGATGCCCTCTCCTCCTCTTCCCTCCCCTCCCCTGCCCCTGAAGCCATGATGCACCACCTAGATGCCCTTGAGCATCATGAGTGGCCTTCTTCAGCTGCTGGAATGATGGGCACAGAAAGCTCACAGCTGAGGCCCTCTCTGGGCCTAGCCCATGGCCTAAAGGAACTGGCTCACCCAAGGCTATGCCCTCTCTCCAGGGGTAGCCCACGTTAATGGCTGTTCAGTGGAAGGATACAGAGATGCTTCCTTTGCCACAATTCAGAAAAACTCAGAAAGGCCACCTCAGCTCTGAGCCTCTCGTTGCACCACCTGAATCTGTTGTCACAGCAGCACCTCTTCCTTTGCCCAGCGCTGCTTCCATATTTCCCAGAAGGGGCAGGGTGAGCACTCTTCACTGAGCTTCCTGCATAAACGATGTCCTCTCAGCTTCATTCTAAGAACTCCTAAGACTCTCTTCCTCTTTCTATTTTAAAAAATCTAGTCTCTTTTTACCCAACTTTCAAAAAAAGCTTTGTCATGGAGAAAAAAAACTCTCTGAGTATATTTGCTGCCAAAGACCTTAACTTAGGCTGAAAGTGTTTCATCTTTGTAATCTGTGTATTATATGAATTCTGCACAGGGTCTAGTATGTAACTGCCTTATCAGTAAATGATGTCAAATATATCGATATTTGATGGGTGAATGTATATAAGAAGGAAAATACATTGTACATTTTGATAATATTATCACATAATTGATAAAAACATAGCAGAATATGAATGCATTGATTCGAAAATCTTCTTTAAAAAGAATGGTGGGAAAAATTCTTAGGAGCACTAAAATTAATCATTCACACATAGGTGGAAACTATAGATAAATGCGAAGACAAAACAAAACAAAAAACCGTTTTGCTTTCATTCTTCTCATTTGACAAGAGGAATTTGAATTAGGAGACTTGGGAAAGGAATTAATGTTCATCAAGCATCTACTTTGTTCCAGGATAGCTTTTAGTGCCTGAGAGATAGGTATCACTGTACTGATTTTACAAAGGAAAAAAACCGAGGGATGAAGATGTTAAAAAAAAGCTTGCCAAAGTCACATAGCTAAATATATGCAAAACTAGACTTGAAACACAGTTGTTCTGACTTGGTCCTGAACCCCAAATTATAAAGAAGTATCACTGCCCTCTCTTGCTGAAAATGAATCAACTATTTTTCTTTTGATACAACTCTAAGGAGGCTCAGAAGCAATCATCAAACTTACATTGTGTGGCATTGGAAATTCCTCAATATTTAAGAAACAGAATTCTACACCTTGTAGAAACAAAATTTTACACATAGACTCTGGCTCTTTCTATGTTATATTTCAGTCCACATATTTGAAGTGTGAACAATCCTTCTCAGAAATATCATAGTAGTTTTGCTTACCATCAATCAAAGTCAGAATCATAGGCACTTTCCTTGTCTTCTTCCATGACTCAGTCAGCGAGGCAAACTGAAATCCCCAGGTGCTCATTCTGTCTGGTTAATTTCTCAATTTGTAACAGTCAGAAAGGACTTTTGACGTATGGTCAAAGATGAGTTACCCACAACAATTATTTTCCTTATGCAAGAATTACAGCTATGATAGAAAAACAAAGCCACTAGTCTTATTGGTCATAGATCTTGTTGGACCTTCAGGAATTGAAGGATTATGTGAAGGCGCCACACCCAGAGGCAAGCAGAAAAGTCTGGGAGCATAAAATACACCCCTTATACACTGAGATAGTCTGGATTGAGACAGTAACAGAGAGTAGATTGTAGCTGACACATTTAATTCCCAGTGATTTAATATATGAGGGTTTTAGGTGGATAACAGAGTGAAAAGAGTATGTCTGGGTTTGTAAGAGAAAAATAGTAAGACGTATCCTTAGAAGTCATACATTAAATTAGTTTTTCCCAGATGTGTTAGTCCTGGAGTTTGCTAATGATGGGATCCAAAACTGGTGAGTTCAAACCATCACTGAGCTTTTGGTTTAGGTTGTAGGTCAGTAATATATTGTGATTTATCTTCTTCATGGAATGACCAATTATGGCCTGAGCATGACAAATAGAATGGCAAGGATATTACAAATAGGTCCTATTCTAGGATTTATGAGCAAACTAAACTTATAAATCTTGCTTTTAGGAAAAAGACAGGTCTTGAATAGTGAAACAGAAAAGTATACCAGTAATTTTTAGTACTTTACAAACTGGATATTTCATCTGCCCGAAGGGTATTTAATATGCTTTCATTTATTATTATCAGGCACTTATTCAATGAGTATGTTAGGGCTGATATGAAAAGTCAGGCTTTGATTAAAACACTGAAATTTATTGTTTAAACATTTATGGTGATTTGGTTTGTTTTTTGGTTTTTCCCCCATGATTAGTGTATAATTCATATGTTCAAACAAACAAAGGTACTATTTTTTTAAGATTTTATTTATTTATTTATTTATTTTTAGAGAGGAAGGGAAAGAGAGAAGGAGAGAAATATCAATGTATGTTTGCCTCTTGTGAGTCCCCCGCTGGGAACTGGCCCGCAACCCAGGCATGTGCTCTGACTGGGAATCAAACCGAGGTCGTTTGGTTCGCAGGTCCACACTCAATTCACTGAGCTACACCAGCCAGGGCCAAAGGTACTATTGAAGATAACAAAAAGAGACCTCAGAAGCTGAACATATATTTTAAATTTTAGGGTATTTTATATTTTCTATACTGCTGGAAAATTATCAGGAAACCCATCTTTTGAATCTACTGTAGGTTTTTTATACCTTTGTATCTACCTCTGTTTCTGTGTATTACATATATAATAATAAATAATAGAAACACATACTAATATACTTGATATGCCATGTATAAGGAGATAAAAAGATGAAAAATAACAGATTACATCTAGGCATGTTAATAACATATTAACATATACTGATATGTACAAATACATGCCAATGTAAACGTATACAGTGAGGGTACCCCCCCAAACCTGGAATTATCTTCTGGAGAGTGGGCCCCTTGTAGGACAGGCTCCCCCCAAGTGAATATTCTAGGAACCCATCTGTATCAGTGTACCAGCTGGCATTGTTGTCAGAGGCTGCATTCGGCTTCAGGGAAATTTTTTTGAAGACTCTTTCATTGCATTTGCCTATTTCATGATGGGTGATTTACTAGCACACTTGCCCACACTGCACTGAGTATTCAGAAGTTTTTGACCAAAACCAGCATGACCCCAATGCCCAGCCCTCCCTATTCACCTAATCTTGCCCTGAGCAACTTGTTTTTGTTTCCTTTGATGAAAAAAGTCCTCAGAGGGAAACATTTTGCTGATGGGGAAGAGGTGAAACAAAAAACGGCAGAAGCACTAAAACACGTTAAAATTAATGAGTTCAAAAACTGTTTGAGCATTGGAAAAAGAACGTCTCAATAGGTGTATTGCATGAAATGTAGAGTACTTGGAAGGCAAATAAAATTTAAACATGTAAGAATAAATACATCATTTTTATAAATAAATTCTGGGGTTTTTTTTTTTTTGGTCCTCCCTCATGTAATATATTAATTCAATTGGTGTGTGTGTGTGCATACTAATTGGATTAGTCTATCTCTTTTTTGTTTTTTCACTTCTCCTAAGAATGAGCTAGAGAAATAATGGGACTTGTTTAGCCTAGATCATGCATCTGTTTGAGCACTTACTGTGTGCTGGGTAGGCAGTCCTGGGAACTGAGTTGAATGTCTTAGACTTTGTCTTTGATCTGATGGAGCTTACAATGAGGTTAGAATATACATTAAATAAGTGACCACGTATATACTTGTATAGTCTCTAGAGACTTTATAGTCATGTCAGTGACAGAATGTTATTAAATAAAAGAACAAGGGTTTATGAGTAAATATACAAAGGGCTTTAATGTGGTGAGGGAAAGAGTCAGAGAAACCTTAAAGGACAGGTAAACTGACCTCAAAGAGTGGGAGTCAGCCAGGTGAATGAGGCATAGGTGTTATAAATTGGGGGTGGGGCAGGGCTGCGTATGCCACAGGTCTTGTTGGATTACTTGTAAACAAGGAGAAAAGTGAGTAAAGAAATTAAATTACATACTTACCATGGGCAAGGTTATCGATTTTAGGACACTGACAACTTGAGGGTCAGGATAATTTATTAATTCATTAAGCCAGCCTGTGTCAGGTGTGAGAGATTCAGACGGAAATGAAATATGGTTGATATTCTGGGAAAGCTCTTAGTAAAGAAAGAAAGGGAAACCAATAAACTAGTAAAAGCAATGCAATATTTGCTATTCAAATAAATCCAGATGTCTAGAAGATGTTAAGGGAACACTGAAGTAGAAAACTTGGATTCTGCTGGGAGTGTCGAGGAAAACATTGTGGAAGAAGTATTGTTTGAGCTGAGTGCATAAGGATGAATAAGCTTCCTCCTAGAGGCGGAAGAGTAAGGCCTCTTCCAGGTAGAGGCCCTAGCAAACATAAAGGCCTGGGCCCAGGAAAGAACTAAACACCTGACCGCAAAGATGGGAAGGAAAAGTAATGCTGAAGGAGGAGCCAGGAGTTGGATGAAATTGAATATAATCTACCATGCTTTGCAACTTATACTTCATGTCCAGGAAATAGGAAGCCAGCGGAAGACTCAAGGTAAGGAAGTCTTACCAATTTGTGTTTTCTAAAGAACACAGCTGGTATGTGATGTGGTAACTGGAAAGGCTAAGCTAATGCAACCACATTAGTTCTCTAATGCCAGAGAGCCAAAAAAGAGTACAGTTAATTTTCAAAATAAGGTTGAATTAAAGAAAAATACATTTTTTACAACAATATAAGAAGGGAGAAACAGCATGAGTGAATTTTTAAAACCTTTTATTTATTCCAAAGAATAAAACAAGTGCTATAAACCAACAGGACACAATTTTAACACAGTAAAGGTGATGCATCTGTAATTCTTTATAACAAAATTGTCAAAAGATACAACATAAGCATCTGCAAATCTTAGCAGTGTTGTGTATTTTTTAAAAACTAAGTGATGAATTTATATTCAGATAGTGTAAATATATATTCAAGACCTTCAGAGTACAGATCATGCTAAGTTCGTTTTATTCTTTTTTTAAAAAACTAAAAGAATGTATTTCTATAAAAATTAGCCATAATGAATTTACCTATTTTCCACCTTCTTCATCCAAAGCAGATATTTTGTGACTAAAACTATAGCACTTCTAATAAAATAGTTAATAAATACAATACAAAAAACAAAGTTTAATGAATAAGTCATGACATTATGCCATACTAAGAAGACATCAAATGTCTAGAGTTATAGGAAAGAATATATTATTCCCAATTATGCAGGACAAATATTTAGACATTCTAAATAAGGGAATTTATTCTGCACTGATAACTGTGTGATGTACCTAGTATTCTAAGACAATGTAACTGAAGTAGGATCCCAGGGTTAAGAGTAAGGAAATTCTCTAATATATTCCTTAAGAAACAATGCTGAAATAGTTAAAATTTTATAAGAAGAGTGGGGCAACAGCTTAACTTCATATATAGCATTCTAAAGAAATACCATTCACACATTAAATCCACAGCTTTTTCAGTAACATAGGGAACATAGTCTAGAAATAAACTAATTGTCTTGGAAGAGTAGCAACTGGTGATTCTTGACTCACTATTAAATCATTTGCCAGTAATTTCAATAGCATAGCAGATACAGTAACAGCAAACAAAGAATAGTAAATACTATGTAAAATATTTCGTAAGATGAACAGAAAGCTGCAGATACAAACATAGGTCCCTCTTCCCAACCTTCCCTCAAAGTGAGGAATTCATGGTGAAACCTAACTCAGTGGAGGAGATTAAATCTTTGCCATTTTTTGTTTTCTTTCCGTCCAGAGATCCCCAGAAAACTGCTCTGCTGATGAGCTGGGCAATTTTTCCAACGCACGATCCTTCTTAATTTTTCTGCTTTCTACTGTTGAAAAAAATATCAGTTTAACGAAATTTCCACACTCCTGTATACTCCGACTAGTTTGCAAAACACAGAGCTTAAGATCAATAAAGAGCAAAGGGTGGACTCAAGGACTATACTCACAAATATATATACGTCTTAGTCATGAATTCTGCATAATCACTTAGGTACGCTATTACATGCAAGATTCTGGATAAAGGTTTTCCCAGGGAGTTCGGAAATAACTTTCCCTTTTCTCCTGAACAACCCTTTTATTTCAAGAATGGGCTGGGAAGCAGTAGCCAAACGCGTGCAGAGAATAACGACCTTGCAAAGGCCACAGTCTAAGAGAAATTTAAAAAACCACAAAGATCAAAGTGCCAGGTACCTGCTCAGAATTTTCTGGATGATTTTCTTGATTAAAGGGGCTTCTGGGTCCAGACAGACTTTCTTCCCGTTCTTCAAGGTGGCTCTGCAGTGGGGTTGGGGGGGAGAAAAGAAAAAGAAAATGAGGATGCGCCCGTGAGCAGCAGAGGCTGAAGTCCCAGGCAATGTTACAATGGACACGGAGGTGCACAAGGACTTACATGAGTTCCACCGTGGGGCACTGCGGGCCTGCGGCAATCATCTCCAGATTACTGATCATTTTTGGATGAACCGTGGGTGCGATGGTTAAACACTGGCAACGCAGCTCTCTTACCAAGGACGAGGAAGGACCAGCTGGGGCAGAAAGAGAGACACTGTTATTGGGCAGGTTGCTGGGAAAGCTTTCCTGCAGTAAGCTCGGCTCGGGACGCCACCCCGCGCCCAGGACTCGGCTGCTGCAGAGGCTAGGGCGCACCCCTCGGTCGGGTGCGTCCCGGGGGCTGTGAGCTCTCACCGCTGGCCAGGGGCCTGGGCGGCGTCAGCAGCAGCAGCGCCAGCAGCGCACAAAGAGATCCTGAAGAGCTGGGGATGCGGGTAGCGAAGCTAGGCAGGAGACTCATAGCGACGAAGAGGGCGCGGCGAGAGGGCGCGTATTCAAGAAGGAGGAGGCGCGAGGATTTCAAACTCCAGTGCACTGCGGAGTCCCCAAGCCCTCCTCATCCCTTATATCCACATTTGCCCCTTCCCCCAGGCAGGAAACTCAAGCTTTAAGATGCTTGGGAAATTCCCTAGACTGAAGGGGCGGGGGTTGGGCGGGGAGATGGGGAGGGGGAGAGGTGATGGAGGATGGGAGTAGATTGCAGGAGCTGGGAAGGAGACTAGGTGGGAGGAGTTGTCTGCACCCTTCCGCGGAGCACGCGGTAACCTGGCATCCCGGAGGATGGAGCTGCTTGCTCCCGCTGAAGGTGGGGCAATCCAGTGGAGATTTGGTCCTCTGAGTCGGCCAGGGCTTCTGAAGACCAGCTTCTCCTGGGGAGCAGAGAGAAGCTCCTCTAGGAGTTGCCCCTCATCTCCACCTAATGAGGATGACTGGAACCAAAGCAGAAGGTTTGACTTTGGAAACATTGGTGATCATCTTTAACTCTAATATATTACTGCTACTCAGGAAATGTAAGCTGCGATTACAACTGCACTAAACTGGAAAGCCCAACCTCTTTTCCTTACACGTGGGTCATTCCAGGTTTCACAAATTAGTTTATTATTCTTTGGACGTCAGCCAGCTTTAGAAGCCAAGATAATATGATGAAAGTGTCTGTATTCCCACTTTAAGTCAGTGGAGGAAAAAGGCTTCAAATTCAAGTCTGCTGACTGGAAATCCTACACTTGTAGTTTAGCAAGCATATTGCCCTGAAAGATGATACCTTGCTTTCTGCAGTTCAATACACTTGAATTGGAAGAGGTATGTTCTTCGTTGGGGATGGGATGGGGTGGGGCGAGTGCAGGTTAAAGCAATGCCAGGGAGACCCAGCCTGCTCTAGCTGCAGCTCCTCAGCCAGGTGTGGCATTGACCCAGTGCGGAGAAACTGTGGAAGGCTGATGGGTTTGAAGGGCTCACCAGGAAGTTTGGTCTAAAGACTGGGCCCTGGCTGGTGTAGCTCAGTGGATTGAGCCTGGGCCTGGGAACCAAGCACCCACGGTTTGATTCCCAGTCAGGGCACATGCCTGGGTTGCAGGCCAGTTCCCAGCAGGGGACACACAAGAGGCAACCATACATTAATATTTTTCTCCCTCTCTCCTTCCTTTCCCCTCTAAAGATAAATAAATAAAATCTTAAAAAAAATAAAGACTGGAAATTGTCAGGAAGACAGCACCCACTCTGGCTTCAAACAACTCAAACAACTCAAACAACTTCATGGGAGGGTGACTCACACACACATCTTCTGGAACCATCCAACTTCATGATCAGCGCTGTGACCAAGGCCATTTTAGCAGGCTTGCTGTGGTCTGGAGTGAGTCCAGAGCTGCCCCTTGAATTCGAGGGCTGAGGTAGCTTCCAGCTTCCTTCCCCTCTCCTTTGTCTCTGCAGTTAGAATGCTGGAGTTTTAAAGGCCAGGTCTTTTACATGTCTAAAAACATGGCAGGCATAGCTATGATATTGAAATGGCATGTTGGCTTTCTTTCATGAAAATCTAACAAGATACTCTCCTGGATTATTCCCAAGACCCATGTCCTCACAGTGGGTCAAGACAATCAGTAAACATAATGGCAATCACAAACCAGTCATGGAACAAACTTCTCTTCCTTGTCCCCCGTGACCCTGGGGGATTTTATTAGCTTCTTCACTCATTTTCATCGGCAGGACGTCATCTCAATTGGTGAGCAAAGAGGAGGTGTCATATACCATTAGAGCACTTAGTCTGGAAGGGAAATTAAATTCTCTAGTTGAGGAAGGTCGAGAAGTTTGCACTCACTTTGTGGGAAGAAAAATGAGAAGGTCTCTTCCCTGCACAGCTTCCTGATACCGTCAGTATCACACCTGACTCAGCTAATGCAATCCTTCATCTGTCTGGGGAGTGGTAAGCAGGAAAAACAGCACACGGCTTTATTACTGACTTTTTTAAAGATTAGCATGCATCTAGAGACAAAAGATAAATCTCACATAATGTAGATAAGGCAAGTCTTCAACAATGTGATTACAAGTCTTAGAGAATTAAATTCAACTTAACCATAGGGAATAAACTACAGTATAATAGGACTTTGTGAGAAAAAAAGTTACTGAATTGTGTGTATGTGTGTTGGTGAGTTCCAAATAACCTATTTTAAATATAAGTGAACATATGAATTAGTTTTGGTACTAAATGTTAAGATCAGAGAAAGTTCATGAGATGTGATTTCCAGTTCCTCTGGTCCTCTTGAAATCGTATAGATATCATGCTTCACCTCATTGCCACCCTAAACCAACTTAACATGCACTATCTACAGAATATAAAGAAGAATACTTTTCCAGCTGGCAAACAGAAAATCCCCACTGTAAGTGGGCTGTTGGGTTGCCCAACCTAGTCAGGAAGCACTGTGTAACATAACCTGGTTCTCATTGAAATATCATTCAGGCCCGTGGCCCGTGTCTGGCTCCTGTCAGGGCATCTCTGATGCAGGTCTTGTGCAAAGACAGAAAGTATTGTGGATGGCCCTGCAGCTCAGAATGACAGCACCAAGTGCCATGGGAGGCAGAGCTATTTAAAAGCAATTGTGTTTTTTTCACTTTTTTTAAAGGGAAGCCCGTTGCCTTACCGGCACTGTGCCTAGATAATAGAGAAAGGCACAGTATATTTTTGTCCCAAGCTATTAAACAAATCCACAGAATGACACTGATATCTGGATAGTCTAAATTAATGATTTACTGTTTGTCCCAAGCAATGGAATTTTAGTCATAATACACAGAGTAATGTAATATGAATTAAAACATTCTTAAGAGTTTGCAGCTTCTAAAACACTTTTATGCTATTTTCTTTTGAGCCTCATATTAATTCTTTTTGGCCGATAAGAAAAATTCTCCCATCCTCATTTTCTAGCCAGGGAAAGGAAGGCCAGAGATAGAGATAAGAAGTGGAAAATCGGTGATAGGAAGTGAAGCACTAAAGAATCTGCCACTACGAAATTTTTAATGGTTTCCAGATTGCAAACCACTTTCTTCACAGTCACTGGCAAATGCCCCACAGCTCTCCACATCTGGTTAACCGCTTTACATGTATTGCACAACAGCCATATTTTAAGCTGTTGAAATTCTTAGTCTTTTTACTCCTGGCCTTTGAGGCTGCAGTGATGTCAAAAGTCCAAGAGCTTTCCAGGCTAACCAGCCTGAAACTGTCACCTGCTGTTTAAATCCTTCTCTTCCAGATCAGTGCAAAGTCCTGTTTTCTCTGAGAACATTTATTCTGACAAAGCTGATTGAAATGTATTCCTTCTACCTTTGCTCTTTGAACATGAATGTACTTGTCATGGCTATCTCATGAAGCAGAGTTTAATTATTAATTTTACTTTTGATTCCTTCAAGTCAACTACAAACTCATTAAAGTTAGGGGTGATACCTTATATTTCTCATGTAACCTCCCACAAATTTCAAGTTCAGTGGCAGGCAGTCTATGAGCATTTGATGACAGATAATGACATTTCATTTTGCAGCATTCTTTAAATTACAAATGAATCTTAAAGTTAAGGGGGGAAATGAATAGGACTGTTAACTGTTGAATTGTTGATTCAAATGTTGATAATCATTTGAATTCCTCTGTTTTAAACTGGTGTACTCCTATACTGGAAATTGTTTTCTGGTTATTTGTAGGGCCAATTCAAATAAAATTTTCAGTCTTTAAATCTGAACTATTCAAAAGGATGCTCAGAAACCTGTAGGATACTTGATATTAATAGAAAGAAAATTATATAATTAAAGTATCTGCAAAATTACATATTTTTGTAATTTAATTACATAAAATGACAAGGGGAAATTCTGATTAAGTTGTATTGTGTTGAAGGTTAATTCTAAAGTGGTCTTTTCTAACAAATCAGAGATCTCAGCCTTTTCAAATGTGTTTCTAAGTTTCTCTCTTCCTTTATACCCACTATGCTTTATATTACCTTTAAGGAATGCTACATAATTGCAGCATTTTAAGATGTAGGCATATCATTATCAGGTTAAACACATCAAAAATATCAGTAAAGAGTTTATTCCTCAATAAGCATTTAAGTGGATAGAATTACTTGCCTGTATGCACAAGAAAAGGGAAAAGCCAGCTACTCTTGGGCTACCTTTGTGCTATCAATGCAGACTCTCTCTTCTCACATTGATCTTGGCAGTCCAGCAAAGAGGCAGCACCCTTAAGTAACAATTGTACTTCATAGTCACCCAGCTTTACTGTGAAATATCAGGGTAAATTCCCTCCGTTTGCGCATTATCTTTTTTATGCCTATTTAAAATAAATCTGCTTAAGAAAAGAAGTAAATGGGTGAATCTTGACTGAACAAACTGAGCTAGGCTCCAGGTAACAATAGGTGGGCCTTTCCTTGCCCTTCCAAGGTGGATGGGGTAGCTAGTTACCTCTTACTCAGCTGTGCATGCCTGCAAAAAGGTTCTATTGACAATAGATGATGCATAGAAATAAAAGACAAGGGTTAAAGTTTAAAATATATCAGAAAGCCTTGGGCTTCTCAGAAATAGGAAGCATTCATTGCTTTCTTCAGAACTTTGGTCTTGGCTAAATAAAAAAAAAGAAGTCTTTCGGTTACTTTTAAAAAATTTTTTCAATTATGATTTACACTAAATATTATTCTGTATTAGTTTTGGATGTACAGCATAGTGGGTAGACAATCATGTACTTTACAGAGGTATTTGGAGTATCAACTTGGTTTCATACATATTTGTTACAATATTATTGACTATATTCTCTATGCTCCAATTTAGATCTCCATGCCTACTCTTTTTTTTAAATTTTTTAAATTTAATTATTGTTCAAGTACAGTCTTCTGTCTTTTACTCCCAGCCCAGCCCACCCCCCAGCGCTCCCCACCTCCCTCCCATTTCTCCCCACTGCCTTAGTTTTTGTCCATGTGTTCCTTATACTTGTTCCTGTGAATCCTTCCCCCTTTCCCCTGAAATTTCATGCCTACTCTTCAATAAGACTTTTTTGAGA